GCCAGGGCTCGTTGCCTTTCCGCACCAGCCGGAGCTTGCGGGGATGCGTGGGGTCCTTGGAGCGCATGTGCTGGATGTAAACCTGGAGCAGAGCACAGCCATGAAGGTCCCCAGCTCTTACCCACCTCCAGGACTGGCATTGCCCAGCCCGGGGCAGGGGGGCTGCTGGGAGCTCCGCACCACCATGCACGGGGCAGGATCGGGGCCCCGAGGGGAGATGGAGATGCCCAAATCCTCCCCTTCCAGCAGAAAGCAGGAGGGAGGCCCTACCTGGCATGCCTTGAGGCTCAGCTTGATCTCCACCTGGCTGGTCTGGGTGCCCACCCACATGTAGACCTGTGGGAAGGACGTGCAGCGGGCTCAGCTGATGGAGCCACTGGCAAATCCAGCCCCTGCCACGCTGCCCCCACACCCAGACACAGGACAGCCTCCCGCCCTCGGCTCACCTCCCGCCCGTTATCCAGCAGCATGATGTCATCGTCGGCCAGATCATCCTGGCAGAAATCAGAGCACTTCTCCGACACTGAAAAATAGCCCTTCTCGTTGGAGCACCTGCGGGGACATCAAGAAGGGGACTGCATCAAAGACATGAGTGTGTTAGGACTCAGCTCGTGCAGAAGGATGGGACATGATGGAGCAGCTCTGTTTCAGCTAGCTGATGCCCAGGGCTGGACAGAGAGTTGGGAGAAAGGCTTTGCTCATCGTGGGGCCTACCTGAAGAGCCGGGAGTGCTTCATGTAGTCAGCGTCTTCATCGTAGGGCTTCTGGCTCCCGATGCCCACCCAGAAGAAGTTTTCAGGCTCTTCTCCCTCGTTGATCACCTGCGAGGCCAGGGACAGGGCTAAGCGTGACCATCCTCTGCTCTGGTGGTACCTGCCACCCAGGTAAGCAAGCACCGAGCCCTGCTGTGCCCCCACCTACTCACCTGCTTGCTGTAGGAGTCATCAAACATGTGGTTCATGATGTCCTCGGCCAACTTGGCCTCGTCAGGGTCAGCTGCCCGGCCCACCCAGGTGTAGACAATGCCCTGGTTGTCCGTGCTCTCAAAGGGCACCTGTGGGGGAGTGCAGAGAATCAGGGGTGCCCAAGCAGTGAGGGGGTTAAGTGGCCGAGCATCCCTGAGGATGCTCAGCTGTGAGCACTACCTTGAGGATGAAGCAAAACTCGGAGTTGAGCAGACCAGCATCTGTGTTGATCTGGATACACCTAGAAAAGAAGCCCAAGAGGCACAGTCAGCAAGAGATGAGGCGCTTGTGCCCACTGGCACGTACCCTGCCAGGAGCCCAGCACCCATGGGTGCTGCCTGACCCAGAGCACGCGGCGAGAGGGCTGACCTGGTGCAGAGGGCCCCACCGTTGGTGCGGATGTGGTAGAGGCTGGGCTGGGGTGGGCTGACCCTCTCCTTCCGCTTGCCCCGGTGAATGACAAACCTCCTCTTGAAGTGCGAGAGGAACTTGGGATTCTCCTGCTGTTGGGTCATGCGCACGACCTAGCCAGGGGTGGGTGTCAGCAGGACCATGGGGACACCCCAAACCCAACTCCAAGCCCCAGCTGCCCCCCCAACCCCGCCAGCCCCCCATCTCTGCTGCTATCCCCTGCCCTTAGCCTGGGGGGCAGAGAGGGGATGGGGGAGAAGTGAGGCAAAGCTGGGGGACCCCTGTGTCACCCCCCAGGAGCACGCAGCGGAGTCACCTCCAGCTTGCCAGGGAAGAGACTCTCAAACTTCTTCTGGAGGCTGAAGGTGAAGGTGAGCCAGCCCATGTTGGAGGCCTCCCGGCCCTGCCAGAAGTAGACGATGCACTGGAAGTCTTCCTCGGGCTGCTTCTCCTCCTCTTCTTCCTCACCATCCTCCTCCCCTTTGCCTTCACCCTTCTTCTTCTTCTCCTCCTCCTCTTCATACTCCACCGGCACCCAGTACCTGAGGAACAGGGGGGTTGATGTGAGGGATGGGGCAGGTTGGGGGTCTGGGCAGGGAGATGGGGGGATGAGGTGGTCCAGCAGCCCTGGAGAAGGGTCGAGGTGGGTGTCACCTGCAGAGGAAGACGTAGCAGTCGTGGGTGTGGAAGTGGCCAAACTCCTCCTCGGGCAGGCGAGCAAATTTTTTGCCCTCCAGCACGAAGCCCTCCATGCCGTCCAGGTCCTCGTTCCACTCCTCCATCAGCTGCTCTGCCTGCAGCCCCACACGATCCCTCAGCCAGTGGCCAGCCATCAGCACCCAGCGCAACGCCGGGGGGGGACACAGGGGACGGTCCCCAGCCCTACCTCGCTGAGGGGCATGGGGGGCTGGCGGGGCAGGAAGAGCGCCGTGAGGTCAGCCTTCATCTGATCCTTCTTCTCAGCATCCTTGCGGACCTTGCCGGCGAGGCCGCCCTCCTGCAGCACCGTCTCAGCGTTGCGGGTGTAATCCACGCGCAGGACATCGTCCCAGTTCTTGAACTTGGACTTGAACACCTAAACCAGGGAGCAGATAATGCATCCCGGACCACAGCACCCTCCCTGGCACCCAGCAGCCCATCTGAGGGATCTGTGACCCCGTTTCCCTTCCCGGCGCTGCTGCCCAGGGGGGTCCGTGCCCGTTCGCAGGCATGTGGGCTGCCCTACCTGGCACTCGGTGCCCTCCAGGTTCCTGGTGACCATGGCGTGCTTGGGCCGGTGCAACATGCTGCACAGCTCCTGGCTCAGCTTCAGCGCCGCCGCCCGCACCAGCCGCGGTGATTTCCTCCCGATCCAGATGAAGACGTCGGACCAGCAGTCCAGGATGTACACACTCTTGGTGTCCAGCAGGCTCTGCAGCTGAGGGCACCGCAGGGAAAAGGGGTCAGGCACTCGCTGGTTCTCCCGGCTGGCAAACGCTCTGCCCGTTCCCAAAAGACAGCTGGGAAGAGCAGAGCATCCCCCACCCGGGGCCCCGCTGGCTAAACCCGCCTTTCCCAGGGCACAGCTGGAGGCAGAGGGGGCACAAAACCCGTCTCACTGGTCAGACTGGGAGAACCTCCCCGCCCCATCCTACCAGGCGCATCTCTGGCATCAGATCAGCCTTCAGCCTCTTCTTGTGCTCCACCGAGAGCTTGTAGTTGATCTGGGGCAGCTCCAGGTAGCCCAGGCCCAGGCCAACCTGCAGAGGGGAAGGGGACATGGGTGAGGGGGGGCTGCAGGGCCCCGGCAGCACCGATAGCCCCACAGGCAGCAGCTCCACACCTTGTACAGCTTGGGCTTGTGGGGCTGAAAGTCATCGGGGACGCAGGGCCGGATCTCCTCAGGTTGCCCCCCCAGCGCCTCCCAGAAGTCAGGGGTCTCCTGGCCCTGGGTGAGCAGCGTGATCTCCGCCTTCCCCTTCCGCTCGTTCTTGTTGATCTTCTCAGCGAAGAGCCTGTGGTGGCAGCAGGTGAGACGGCAGGTTGGCTCCCTGCCCCCCCAGCCCCACCAACCAGCCCTACCTGGCCTTGGTGGTGCTGCTCAGCGTGGCCTGGCTCCCGCGCCACACAAAGAGGTTGAGGCCGTGGTCCAGGAGGAAGACGAACCTGGTGGATACAGAGGTGAGAAGACAGTCAGAAGAGAGCGGGGTGCGCCGAGCGTCCTTCTCACCCTGGGGGTCCTTGTGGAGCACAGCACCGCAGTGGGGTTTGGACCCACATCCTTGTAGAAAGCTGCTGGCACGGCCAATTTGCAGCCCAGAGCTGCAGCTATGATGTGTTGGGTGGACCCTGCCAGCACCCCGTCCCTCCGCAGGGCCCCTGTGTCCCCCAGCCGCTCCCCCTGCTCACCGGGGGTCCAGCGATGTCCCTTTCAGTGCCACCGGCTCCAGCTTAACGTTCTTCTTCCCGTAGACACGATACAGCCTGGGGGAGAGACAGCCACAGTGGGACGTGGGGCAACGCCTGCCCCACGTGTGCCCCCAGCCCCTGGCCCCAGCAGTACCTGGTGACGTATTGCGTGTCCTCGACGGTGAAGAAACCGCTGGCCGTGCCACCCTCAATGTAGGAGATATCATTGTCGAAGACCTGGGGGCAGGGAGGGCGTGAGGGTGGGAGAGGCAGGGCTGGGGGCTATGGGGGGGGCCTGGGGTTGGCCTCACCTGGAGGAATTCATCGCTCTCATCCCCCATCTCCCTCCTGTCCGATCCAGTAGTAGATCTCCCAGTTGAGGGAGCCGTTCTCATCCAGGAAGGTCTAGAGAAGGATGGGGTGTGAGATGGGGTGGCCGCGGTCCTGGGTTGGGGATGTGGGGGACCCTCAGTCCTCCCTGGGTACCTTGAGCACGATGTAGCAGTCGGCCTCGTAGAACTTGCCGTGGAAAGCCTCGTCCACCAGCGTGGGCACAAAGTTCTCGATCTGCCAGACGCAGAGGCCGGGCAGCTGCCCCACGTCCTCGCTGAAGAATTCCGAGTAGTCCAGCTGCGGCTTCTCCAGGCCCTGGTCCCAGCGGCGTGTCTTCAGGTCTGGTGCCTTTGCCTCCCCACTCTCCTGCAGGGATGGGGACAGGTCACTTAAGCTGGGGGCAACCGGGTCCCGGCTGGCACCTGGGGTGGGCCAGGGGCACCACGGTGCTGCTCAGGGCCCCTCTCCCACCACAGACCCTACCTCTATCTTCTTGTTCTTCTCCTGGGCCACGTCCGACATCCCCTTCAGCACCTGCTTGGCCTGGTCATCCTGGGCAGAGTCCTTGCGCCGCCGGAGCCGCATCTTGCGGGCCAGCGGGTCCTTGGTGCCGCTCCCTGGGGACACGGGGACGGGGTGAGAGGAAGCCAGGACACCCATGCCTTGCGTGGGGTACACCATGGGGCACGGCTCGTTTCCCCGCCTCTCCCAGGGGGCTGTCCCCTGAATCCCTGCATGTTTACCTGCTGCAGCGGCTGCAACGGTGGCCGGGGAGGCTCCGGCCAGGCGGAGCTGGTTCTGCAGGGAGAAGTCGATGTTGTACCACTCCGACGTCTGATCCACCGGCTTCGGAGGCATCACCAGGTTTGGGTTCTCGCGCACGTCCAGGATCTGCCGAGGAGGGGATGGGAAACCTCACTGCTCTGAAACACAGGCTCACAGGGACACTGAGGATGTGGGGTGGGACAGGAGGCCTCTGGAGCACCCTGGGCTTCGGTGAGGTGAGCGTATGTGGAGGGAGCCCCGAATCCACCGCCTGCCTGTGCTGAACCCTGTGCCAGACTGCATGTATTGGCCCCAACACCCCCTGTCCTCACCTTGCCCATCCCACCCTACAGCCCTGGGATCCCAGGGACACACTGGGGCTGTGGTGGACCCAGCCTGAGGCGGAGGGGATGTTGGGCTCTCACCTCCACGTCCGTCAGGAAGTGGATGGCCTCTGGCAGCGTCACCAGGCGGTTCTTGTTCAGCACCAGCTTCCTCAGCTTGGAGCACCTGTGGGACATGGACACACTGGTGAAGGCCCAGGCCAGGGACATGTCCTTCACAGACACTCAGAGACGCCCATATCACCACACAGCCTCCGTGTCCTCCCTCAAGGACAGAGCAGATGTAGCTGGGGGCTGTCCCCTACCTGCACAGGCTCTCAGGGATGAGCTCCAGGTTGTTGTTGGCCGCCATGAACTCCTCAAGGTTGGCGAGCTTGCCGATGCCCGAGGGGATCCCATCAAAGTCGAGGTTGTTAGAGTTCAAGTACATCTTCTTCAGCTTAGTCAACTTGCAGATGGCCGACTGGGGAAGGAGATGACAGCGTGAGGGAGAATCCAATGCCACAGAGGCAGAGGCAGGGACACCATGTACAGGCAGGGACATACAGGCAAGGAGGTGAGCTGGTTGCGGGACAGGTTGAGGGTCTCCAGCTGGGTCCACTGGTCGATGCAGAGGGACAGCTCCGTGATCTGGTTGCTGCTGAGATTGAGGCGCCGCAGGCTGCCCAGTGTGTAGAGGCACTCAGGGACACGACTGAGGTCATTGCAGGACAGGTCCACATCTGGAGCAAGACCACGGGGTGACGCCACCAGCCGGACCCACGCCAAGGCTGAGAGAGGCCCTGGAGGGCCCCATGCGGCGTGGGACTGGGTGTCCCGGCCCTACCTGCCAGGTTCACCAGGCCTTCGAGGCTAGTGGGCAGGTTGCTCTGTGTACGCTGGGTGTTCCTGAGGTGGAGGGTCTGCAGGGCCATCATTGCTGGGAGCTGCCTGTGGACCATGGAGAACCATGGGGCAGAGACAGCGTCAGGGCTGGAGCAGGCACCTGGCCCAGCCCCAGCATCACAAAATCCAGCCTGGAAAATGGGGTCTTACCGGAGCTGCGCGTGCAGGAGGGGGTTGTTGTTGAGGATGAGGGTCTGAAGGTGGACCAAGCGTCTCATCTGCGGCGGGAGGCTCTCCAGCTTGTTGTTGCTCAGGTCGAGGTAGAGCAGGTCTGTCAGGTTGATGAAGAGCTGGTTGGGGATGGTCTCAATGCTGTGGGGATATAGCAATCTTCAGGGTTGCCTGGGACATGCACCAGCCCTGGTTGTCCCTCGATGAGGGGCACAGTGCAGGACCCAGAGTGAAGAGGGGTGACAGATGGCCGTGGCCATGGCTAGAGGCAGGGAGATGGCTGCCCTGGCCTGGACCCACCTGTTGTGGCCAAGATTGAGGACCAGCATGTTCTTGGCGTTCTCCAGTTCCCGGGGACACTCGGTGAGCTGGTTGTAGCTCAGGTCCTGGGGCAAATGGGAGAGCAAAGCAAGCATCACCCTCTGCCCTACATCGAGCAACCACCACCCAAACCCAAGGACCCAACTCCCCCAGATGCTCCTCAGCCCCACCGTGTTCCCCAGGGAGCACAAGGAGCCACTGAGGTGCAGGAACAGGACCCAGGACTCGGAGCTGTCTCTCGCAGAAGCCAAGGACACTGCACGTACCAGCACCGAGAGGTCGTCCAGCTGGAAGATATCATCAGGGACTCCCGAGTTCTTCAGGCTGTTTGCACGAGCCACGATCGCCTTGAAAGAGAAGAGAGAGGCACGACTGCAGCCACTCACCGGCTCTACGCCTGCTGAGCCTCCCGGGGTGGCCAGGGACGATCTCTGTGTGCCCCCAGAGCCAGGGGCTGGCTGAGAGGTCCTTGGGGACACCAGCCCTGATGCAGGTGGAATGCACAAGGGGGACACTTACCCGGAGGCACGGCAGGCCGGAGAGCTCGCCGTGGAGCGTGGTGAGGCTGTTGTGACTCACGGAGAGGTGTTCCTGCAGGGAAGATCCAGGTAAGCCCCAGCGAGCAGAGAGAGGAGCCAGGGCTGTGTGGGGGCAGCCATCGGGCCTCTGCACTGACTTGGGGCTCCTCAATCCCAGGAGAGTGGGGGGCTCGCAGAGGCATGGCGTGAGTTCAGTCCCGACCCACATGAGGCTGCTGGGATGCCCCCAGTCTCAAACTGGGACCCCAGCGTGCTCATGCTGCCTCCGCACCCCTCGTTCCTTGGGGCAGACCTGTTTGAGACACCCCAGCCCTGCTGCAGGGTTCGGGGTGCTCTGGGCTGCTACGGAGTTCCTTTGTGGCAGTCCCATACAGCCCCCGAGAAACCAGACCCCAGTTCTTGGAAATGCTTCTCACTGGGTGGTCTGGAAACGTGCAGACGTGGGGACCCGCAGGGTAGGAGGAGGGCCCAGGGGAAGTTTTTGTTTTCCACTAGGCATCACCAGCCCGGCTGTTACCTGCTCAGGAAAATGAGGAACTGGCAGACTGTGGGCGAGATGCCAGGTTTTAAGTCTAGCCGTGGCCCCCGAGCATCTGTCAGGACTGGCAGGAGCGCGGCTCGGAACAGCACGGAGGGCTTCCCCGCTTGCTGCGCCTGAGCAGGGCGCAGGCAGCACAGCGACGACGACTTTTGGCAGCGTTTAAAGCGTCGCGTTTGGCTGACACCAATTTGACGATGTCCATAACATGCTGCAGGACACCGCCAAAGCAAAGTTCAGCCACGGACTCCACCAAGGGCCTGGGAGTGCACAAAACTTGAGCTGCCCAAAAAACAAAGCCAGGCAGCTGCCAGCTACTGCTCTCTATATCTTTTAGCAAGGGAGGAGGAAAAAAAAATAATCCCCAAAACCTTAGTCCTCCCTATACTAAACCTTCACCCTTCCCTTCTATTAAAGGACAGAGGATCCAAGCATGGTTTTTAGTCTGGTTTTCTAGGAAAACAAGGTGAAACCGAGTACAAATCTGTCTCAACCCCACTCCTAACAGCTCCTGCATCCAATTTCAACCACATGTTGTAGCTCAGCCCTATTATTAGATACCAGAACATCTGCCAAGGAGCCACAAGGCTGGCAGGCACCAGGCTCTCTGCACCGCCACGCAGTGCCCCTTCCAACCCCGCAGCCCCAGTAGGAGCCATTGAGCCCCATCCTCTGCCCAAAAAGTGCCGCTCACCAGCTTCTGGAGGGCAGCGAGCTCCTCGGGCAGGTAGCAGAGCCCAAGCCACATAGCAGAGGGAAGAGGATCTGGGGACCTCAGTCTGACCGACCCTGCGCGGTCAGGGGGAGGCCTGGGATCGCCCAGTGCTATGGGATTGGGACCTGGGGTCCAGGATTACCCAGTCCTATGGGACTGGAAGCTGGAGC